CAAGGACAATTGGCGCCCCCCACGGGCTGGTGGAAGGGGCGATAATATCCGCAGCTGGCATCTCCCTGACTGCATGGCGGACATGCTCCTTCCCAGTCGGGCTCAGCCTGTACGGGTTCTGCCAAATGAGGGCCGCATCGCCCGTGTCGATATGATGGTGTACCGATGACGTGCGGCCAATGTCGTATTTGGATTTGCTGAAAACGTCAGAAAATTCCTGAATAAGTGCACGCAATGCGGACCTTTGCACCTCGGACAAGTCACGGCTCTCGGCGCAGAGTGCGTTGAACCACGCGTCATCGCAACTCTCCCCTCGCTCTGCAGCCGCGACCAGCTTGACGGGGTCCGTCCCTACGACGTCGCCATCTGCTGGCGATGCGTGAGCTAGGACCGTGCTTGCCTGTATGACCGTGGGCCCAAGACCAGCGTTTAAAATTTGAATAAAAGGCTGCTGATCATTCCTGATAATAGTTTGGGCCCCTACCAACATAAGGCTATGGCTGACTTCCCTCAGTGGCATTCTGATCGAGCTGTTTCCTGAGGCGCAAAGGCACCAGTATTTGTGCTCCAGGGGGAATTTTAACCGTTTCCCACGCGAGAGCCTGGATCACGGCATTCGCTTTATACAGCCTAGTCGGGGAGGGCATAAAGGCCATTCTACGGCCGGACGGCAACTCCAGGCACCCCTGGTCTACTAGGAATTTAATGGCCATTTTCCCCAGAAAATTCGTTCCCAATAGGCAGGGCACGGCTAACGATTTGGAAACTAATACCGGGCCAGTTATTTGAATATTGCCAATGGCCACGGTCGCCGACATTTGCCCCATAATGCCCAATGAGCTGCCGTTGGCCGCAAAGCATGGGACATCGACCGGACGGAGGTTAGCCAATTTAGCAGGTAAACAGTCAAAAATATTTCAGATATGATGGTGGCAGATACCCCTGTGTCAATTAGCATTCGCACCTCCACCCCTTGCATGGTGCCAAATGACGGCCGATGATGCCGTGGTCGCAATTCGTTGGCCCAATGTTGACCATTGACCAGGTCGCCGTGGCCATCCATCGGCTGCCAAATTCTGAGCTACCCGCCCTGCGCCCCGAGTGGACAGCCCCACACGCGAACCAAAACCAACGCACTAACCTGATGAGTGAGGTGAGTGCGAGGGCCGAGTGTGTGATGTAGCCCGACTCGCCTGAGGGCCCTGTGGATCGGACGACGGTCGGCCGAAGGAAGACGACATCCTGGAGGGTCTCCCACGCTCGGTCCAGCACTCTTTGGAGATGTGGCCCGGAAGGCCGCACTTGAAGCAAACGACAGAGGAAGATCCGGGTCCGGAGGAAGCCCCCGTCTGTCGATCCCGGTCGTCCCTCTGTCCCTTCTCAGCCCTACTCCACCTGCTGGCATCGAGCGATGTGAAGGCCTGGGACGACTCGACCTCGTCGGGTGCTGCTCCCTTCTTGGCAGGACCCATGCATGCCGTCACCGTTAAGCGGCGCTTGATGTTGAGGTGGGCCTGGAGGCACCTCGCAACTTTCAGCGACGTCAAGTCGTCTTCGTTGGAGGCTGGAATTACAATGTCGAGGTCCCAGGCCAGGCCGAGCATGCGATCCAGGATCAGAGCGTCCAGGCCGTCTTTTTCCATCTTTGGGTACGCAGCCTGGGCCAGCGAGATGAGCGCACTGCGGAAAACAAGAGGCGTGTCGGCCTCCTCTCGTCTCCAAGTAGCAAACCTATGGCGCATGTTAGATGGCGGGTTGAAAATCCCCGCCATCTGTGTGAGAACTTGTGCCATCACCCGATCCTCAGCTAGAATGGAGTAGAACGCTCCCAAGGCGGTGTCATCCAAGACAGTCGGGAGAGCTCGTAGCGCTTCCCCCTCCGTCCATCCCACCAGGTCGCATGTAGCAGTGAAGCGGCAGCTGAAGGCCACCCAGTCCCCCCCTGCAGCAACGAATTCCTTCACAAAGGGAAGGCACCTCTTCAGAGCAGGCCCCTCCGCTTGCATTTTTGGCGGGATGCTCGCGATGGCGGGAACCCCGTCCCGTGCACCGCTCAAAATGACGGGCGCTTGCGTGGGCTGCGTTTCCCGCGCTTCCCGTGTTCCCTGCGCGCGGGACATAGCAGCGGCGGAGTCTTCGCCCCGCGGCTCCGGTCCTCCGACTCGTTTAGCCGGCTCATCCAATTCCATCTCCGCAACGAGTACTTCCGCAGTGGACAGTAGGTCGGCCAAGCGCTGGCCACGTGCCCGCCTGTCTCTCCCCGCTGCTGGCGGCGTGGCGAGGTCGCGTTCCTGGTGCTGCTCCGCAGGCCCAAACCCCTCGCGGTCCATCTCCGGGGCCGCCTCTCCCGGGGCTGTCTGGGGGGTCACCCCCTCTTTGTCTTCCTCCTCCGAAGAAGCCCTGGTAGGTTGTCTTCTTCTCGTGTACAATTTAAGCCTACGCTATCATCTAGCTATGAAGTATTTTCACTTCTGGCACCAGATGTAGTGTATGTCTCACGATGCACACAACGAATTCGTGAGGCACCAAGATTTATTCACAACCGAACAGGGCTACGGGTTAACAATACTCGTTATTACTCTAGACCCCCAAATGGGTCTCTATGTAAACTGAGTCCCCGACGACCGACGCTCCAAGACCGCCGAAGCAACGCCGCACGGTGAGCTCTTTCCGCCACACAACCACGATCGCTCCGCCCTCGTCCCTCTTATCCTCCGAGCGTCGCTTCGCTCCGCCTCTGGCCACGCCCCTTCCTCGGTCTCTCGAGACGGAACCGGAGCCAGTGTCACATGTCCTCCGGGCCCACGTTTCCGGGTCCCCTTCACTCTCCTGAGTTGGCACGTCCCCTCCCTCTCTCTCTGCGACGGGACCCTGCGCTGTAGGGCCTGCTTCTCCGCCATGTCTCCGTCGGCTCCCTCGAGAGGTACGTGTACCCTCCTTGTAGTCACCGTATACACCGTTGAGACACTATTTACGTCTCTACACAAGAAATAAAGTCTGAATCAACCACACACAGTACTTGTGGTGAACATGCAGACAAAAAATGTACCGACTATACGCATTGTCCTTTAAACGGAACTGACTGCACGAAGTGCCGGTCCCGACGCGTCTGTGGCTCGGCGCAGGCTGGGCACTGGGTCTCGCAGCTGGAATAAAACACATGTTTAGAGCGTTTGGTCGCGGTTATAAATGTCCACACGATGATGATGAATGACGATCAGCCACTTCATTGAGCTGTCATTTGTGAAAGCTTCTGAAAAAGAGCTAAATAGCTCAGTGGGCCTTACCTGGTAAAATAAAAATAATTGTTTAGAATGAGTCAAATCAATGAAGCGGCAAATTAACTACGACAGGAGGTTTTTTTATTGTGTACAGTCATTTATTACCTGGTTGAGACCACTGACTCACTGCACATGAGAACCCGGGTGGCTGAGAACTGGAATCGAACCCAGGTTCTCGGCGTTGCTTCTGAGCCATCCAGCGGTATCAGCTCACTGTTAATCATCAGCATTCTTCAAACGGGGAGAACATGCAAACTCCAAATATACAGTCGGCCTCAGGCTCAGGATGAAACCCACGACCTTCTGCATTCCAGGCGAAGTAGTTAACATCTCGCCACTCTGGCTTTAGCAACAGGACTGACGGATTACAGCATTTTTATCATTCAGGTTTAATTAACAGTGTCCGCGGTCCAGTTATAACTGTCACACAATAATCCCTGCCTGTGATCATTATTAATCAGTGTGTCGTCAGAGGGACAGTGTAGTGGTTAGTGCGCTGCGCTACGGACCCGGCGACCCGAGTCCATTTCCCTCTCAAGGCCACCAACGCCAGTAGTGATGAGCTGAACCGGTCCTGGGCCTCCGCTAGGTCGAATCAGCCTCAATGATCTCGCACCTCCATACATTCGGGAGTTGCTGCTGCTAACCCCTCAACGTTCCAACAACGAGACCTCTGAGGTCGGCAGACTTGGATCTCCCCTGGATCTCCAGTCCTTGGGCAGCAATCTCTGGACATTTGCTTCCATGGTACCCGGACTGTTGAAGTCTCTGCCAGGGAGTCCGGTTCGATTGGGATCTTCAAGTCCCTCCTAAAACATTTATCTTTTGGCATTTACTATTTTAACTCAGCCACTTCCAATCCATTCCCCCCACCATTTTCATTGACGCAAAGCGCCATTGGGATGTTATCTATGTATGTATGTAGAACTTATTTGGCACCATGCGTAGCCAATCGGAGTTTCAGGGGAAGAACAAACTAAGCACAAATATCAGTTCTAAAGAAATTCGTTTTCAATCAAGGTTTAAAATTGCATAGCTCCAGTGGTCTCCTAACGCCAGAAGGAAGAGCGTTCCAGACGGCCGCATAAGCGCATCTGAAAGTGTGCGATGCGGTGACCCATCTTTCTAGATTTGAAGTTTTCGTGACTGCAGGGATCCATACTCTTTGGTTCTTTCGATAAAGTCACGTAGGTATAAAATGAAATAATTTCAATCACGACGTTTCGGGCGCAACACAAGCATCCGTCATCAGGTGGGACAGGAGGTTGAATTTAGCGATCAAGTTAACTTTACATTTGGTTGACAATGATTTAGTAGAGGAGACTGTCATGTTATCTACATGGTCCCAATCAGAAGTGGACATTTTATCTGTTAATATTAGGTGTGATTGTAAGAGAGTCTTGTCTAAATTATTAAGTTCAAATCGGATTTAAACAAGATCCGTTTAGCGTTAGGAGAAGTGACAGCAGCAGATGTGAGTGTAAATGCGATGACCCATCTTTGTTCGATGGGCAGCCAAAAGCCGCTGCTGCGAGGATGACCAGATTTCACTCACGATGCTTCATGCTCCCTTGATAAGATCAACATGGTGATGATGAAAAGACTCCACTATACACAAGCTGTAACAATTGCGATCGTCATACGTATTTGTGTGGAGGGACCGTTGTGGGAGGGATGCGCGGTGGTCACGCTAGCCTGTCCGTGGGCGCACGCTCGCAGGGCAGGAGCGCTTCGGGAACATGACGCGTGTCTACTACAAGGAGGCGGTGGGCGCCATGGTGGTGTTCGACGTGACCCGGGCAACTACCTTCGAGGCCGTGTCCAAGTGGAAGCACGACCTCGACTCCAAGGTCCCCGCTCGGCCCCTGCCGCCGCTCGTCACACGCACGCACACACACAAAGCGCTCGCCGCCACAAGTAAGCCACACAACACCTCGCTGATCTCATCAAAGGAGAGCGTAAACCATCGTCGCGCGAGACTGGCCATCCTCGCAGCAGCAGCGGCGGCGGCAGCTTTTGGCTGGCCGTCGAACAAAGAGGGTCGCCGCATCATCACGAGCTTTCAGATGCGCTTCTGCGGCCGTCTGGAACGCTCTTCCTTCCGATATTAGGAAGCCACTGGAGCTATGTACTTTTAAATCTAGATTGAAAACTAATTTCTTTAGAACTGCTTTTTGTGTTTAATTTGTTGTCCTTCTCCCGCACCTCCGATTAGCACGGTTGGCTATGCAGTGACCGTCTTTGTTCGATAGCTAGCCAAAAGTTGCTACGAAGATGACCGAAGTTCGCGTGATGGTTTAAGCTCCTTGACGAGATCAGCAAGTATTGTGGTTCATTTGTGGCAAACACTTTGTGTGTAATGAGTGCGATGTTAAAATTAATTCGTTTGGCAATCGGAAACCAATGCAGCTCAGCGAGCGCTGGACGGACACGTTCAGATCTTGCAGTACCCGGCACGACACGTGCCACAGGGTTTTGTACATGTTGCAATCATGACGGCCGCAGAAGCACATCTGAAAGTGCGCGATACGGTGACCACGCGCGGTGGTTCCTGAGCGACGCGTCGCATGGCGCGCATCCTGTGCGTGCAGGTGACCCTGCCGAGCGGCAAGCCCATCCCCACCGTGCTGCTGGCCAACAAGTGCGACGGAGACGGAGGGGACGCCAGGGGCGAGTGGAGCGACACCGCTCAGCTCGACCGCTACTGCCGCGACGAAGGCTTCGTAGGGTGGTTTGAGACGTCCGCCAAGGTGCGTCGCGGGCCGTCTTTCGCGCACGGCATCACCGCCGCCCTTTCCGCAGAGCGAGCCCAGACGTGGTTCTCGACCAGCGCTTGACCTCTTACCTACGGCGGTGCAACGTGCAGCCGTCTCCGTACAGACGATGTTGATGATGTAGGGCAACGTTTTTCAAATTTGTTTCGCCAACGGACCGCTCTGCTGATGCGAACATTTCCACGGGCTACCCAGCACCCCCACTACCCCTGGTGACAAAACGTATTTACGTCTTTCTCTAAATATCAGGGTTTTTTTTATATATACGGGGTGGGGGGGGGGCATTTAGATCTTAGGGTGAGGGTAGTTTCATTGCGGTAATTTACATAACTGAATTTTTTATTAAATACAAATAAAATATAAATTAATGTTCGAAACAAAAGGTATAATAAACATTGTCGCTATTGTCCGGATCAAGCTGCGTTTGCATCACAGCCCCCGCAGACCGGCTGGAGGAACGTTGCAGACCACTCACTGGTGGTGGTGCAGGGACCGCGCTCTGAGAACCACTGCTCTAGATCAACAGCTTGGGGCGCCGCGGTGGGGAGATGTTAACTACTTTGCCCGGTATACAGGAGGTCGTGGGTTTGATCACATCCCTGATGCCTGCTATATATTTGGAGTTTGCGGTGTGTCTCTCTCGCCGTGGTCACGTATATTTTTCTCCGGGTCCTCTTGTTTTTCCCTCGAAATTTAAAATAGTCACACGTTTATAGTATTTGGCTGCTATAAATTTCCACATTATGATAAGCCACTTCAATGAGCTATCATTTGTAATAGCTAGGTCACTTCTGAAAAAGAGAAATATAGCTCAGTGGGCCTTATCCGGTAAAATTAATTTAGTTTTAACCTTTTGGGACCTCCTTTGCCAGTAACAAAATATGACAATAGGTTTTTCCCTTTTTTTTCTGGCAACAAAATAGGTGTTAAGATGTTAACGGTTTCAGTTTGGTGTTTTTACATTTTAACACCTGTTTTGTTGCCAGAAAAAGGGGAAAACCTATTATCTTAGTTTTAAGAGTTTAGTTTAATAGCTGTCATTTTATGTTGAGGCGGTTGATCCAGATGATTGCATCAGGATTATTGATATTAATCCTTTCCTATTCCGAGACATATGCAAATTGCAGGGTGGGTGTCCCATTCGCCGCTGAATCTAGGGACGCGCGAGTAGCTCGGCATTAATTTTATTCAGAGAGGCGTAGTCGTGCCGTTGTCTTTAAAGATGTTGTACTCACCGAAGGGAACTGTAGCGACACAACCGCCAAACTGTGCCACATGGCCCTTCCCGCATGGCCACGTACATCATGGGAACGGAAGCGGAGTAAAAACCGATGAAGTACACGCATGGGTGCAATTCCCTATTTCAAGGGGGGGGGGGGCTATGCAAGATCCGACTGTGGGCCTCCTCCATTCTCCCGACTTACTTTCACTGAAATAGCTACTACGGATGTTTTTAACCCTGTATACAATAATATGCAGGCTGTAACTATATATATAACATTTTAGTTGCACCGTGTATTGGGTTTAGAGGAAGACAGTCTCTCAGTGAGAGTATTAATAAAAAAAATATTTATGGTTACAATACTCACAATTAAGTTATCGTGCGTCTTGTTTTCATGCCCAAGTCAGTGAGCCAACGAGCCTGGTAGTGCTCAGTAACAAACACCGGCAGTTGCGCTACGAGATTTTACGCTTTGTGTATTTTTCGTAAATATTATGTTTTCGTTTGTAACAATGGCTTTTGGCATTTATGGTTAATTGTTGTAACATTACTTAATTATGTTGATTCAGAGCCCCCTTGCGGCTGACTGGGCTCCAATGCGTCACATAACGCTGCCATGCATCCCCGCCCATAGTTGCGCTCCTGCAGACGTACGTCATCGGAATGGCAACGGGTTAACCTGCCCCTAAAATCCGAGGAAACTGTTCACGGGCGTGCGTGTGCGTACGGACGGACGCATGGGAGACCCTGTCCATGAGCGCACGAGCCACGCGTAACGGCATGCCACCGTCCCCCCCTCCCCCCCACCGCAGGAGAACATCAACGTGGAGGCGGCCGCGCAGCTGCTGGTCCAGCGCATCCTGGCAAACGACGTGTCCTCAGCGCAGGGCTGCCGGCGCTGCGAGGACACGGACAGCGTTAAGCTGACCACGAGGAACGGGGGTGCCCGCCGCAGGAAGTGCTGCCAAAAATGACGCCGCCGTCGGCGTTCTGCCCCTGCCGCAATCACCGTGCCACTGCCGGTGCTCTCTTGCCGGACCGGCGTCCAGAGACGAATGAATTCCCTGTTGGGAGCTCTCACAGCTGGCGCTGTAACATCACCCACCACCGTCTGTCAGAGACCCCCTCCCCCACCCCCGGAGAAGATGAGATCACAGAACTGTACTTTTGTTGTTATTCTTGTTTGGTTGTTGTTATCATGCTGCGATGCGTTGAATCCACTTGGGTCTCTGGCAGGGTAGTTGCGACCATTTTGTATTGGGGAACGGCCCGCAGAAGCGGATATCAAGGAGCTACCTCTGAGAGCACTTTTAAAGTGACCTCTGGTCCACGCAGTAGGGGGCAGCATTTTCCTACCGAGGGCAATGTTCGTTGCACGACAGTCAAAGTTATATGTTAATTCTCAAGAGCTGCAATTTAGCCAAATCAATCACAGAACCCAAATCTAACGCGATTGAGTCCATCAACCACAGGACTTAAGAACCCTCATTAAGTCACAGGCAATTGCTGAAAAGGTGGATTCGAACCCAGGATCTTATTGGTGCCAGCTCAGTGCTCTGACCTGAGCTGGTACCCCTCTACAGATGTTTTATGAAATCACTTTCTTTGCCGGTTATCCACGCTAGGTGGCACATACTGCTTTGTCCTCACAGCTAGAAGAAGCAAAGCAGCAAAACCAATTTAACGTTACAAAACGCCTCCTTATCTGTCCCTTCACAAAAACATTTTTTGTTAAAAGTATTATTTGTACACATTCAATCAACCTTCCGGGAGTGCATAACTTTGTCAGCGTTGCTTCAAGCAACCCTGACTGTCAATGAGACACTGAGTGTCAAAACCAGTCCACAGTTTGATTGTGTTTAAACCAGGGGGTGTGAAACTCATTCAGCGGTGCCGGTTTGGATTCAAATGCAACCTCATAATAATATCGTATTAATTTACCGATTCAAAAATCCGAAAGCACGGGAAAAGAGTTGATTTATTTTTATGCGGCAGGGCGCGCGCCAAATCCCCCGTTTGAATGTCCAGTTTAAATTCAGGTTGGATTTAGGTAGAAGCTTAAAAAAATATAGAGAGAGAAATAAGTTGTGAAATTTAAACACGTGGTGGGCCAGAGTCAGGGGCATGGGGGGCTTGGGGGGGCATGTGTTTGACAGTCCTGTGTTAAACTAATGCTGCCGAAATTGTACCCTCCTAGTGGCCAGTTGGATGTGCACAAAAAAATACACGTTTTGTTTTCAGTGGAGGGACAGGCATGGACAACAGGCGTCTTATCTGCTTATTTATGTTGCTACTTATATTTTCGACGGCGCTCATGATTATTTGTGTTAATTTAACGTGTAACTGTACTCTTGTGTAAGGTCGTTGCGAGTGGGCTGGCACCATGGACTCGTGACGCTTAAGAACTTGGCGTTATCACTGGTGGCTGGAGCCTGATCTTCAACCCAGGCTGTCGGTCGGTGGTGCTGGCTCCATGTTATCAGCCTCCCGCAATGACCAGCCAACAACCCGTTGTCGTGTTTCCTTCCTTGGCTGATAGCACTGCCGCGCAATCCATGTCACACCTCGTTGTTGGACTATGGTAGAAACCACTCTCAACTCACCGTCTCTGTTGATGAATCACAGAAATTGGTTAAATGAGAGCAAACTGAGTGTAAGGACTCGCAGTGGGCTAAAGGATGTGATCCAAGCGTGACGGATCTCGGTGGGATGGTATGCGCGTATGTATGTTGAACTTTTTTTCGCACTATAGGTAGCCAACCGTGCTATTCGGAGGTGCGGGGAAAGGACAACAAACTAAACACAAAAAGCAGTCCTAAATAAATACGCTTTCAATATAGATCATTTAAAAGTGCATCGCTCCAGTGGCTTCATAATACCGGAAGGAAGAGCGTTCCAGACGTCCGCAGAAGCTCATCTGAAAGTGCGCAATTCAGTGACCGCCTTTTGTTCGATGGCCAGCCAAAAGCCGCTGCTGCGAGGATATTGTTCACAAGCCGGTGTCTGTCCCCTTTCTTTAATAAAGGACGTGAATACGCCACTGCACCGTCATTCATTACTGTGCTCACTTATTCACACAAGTCTGTAAGTGTTATGTTGCGTCTAACCAGGTGAGTAATCAAGAAACCAGGATAGAGTCTCATTTTCAAAGACTGATCAGGAGATGGCAGTACAGAAATTGATTACATGTATTCATGAAAAAAATGGCATGCTTGCTGAGCACGGGCTGCAAAGATCAAATCGCCCAGCGGTCAGCAACAAAACGGCACTTAAAGTTACGTAGATAGGTTCAAAGAAAATAAACAAAAACTACGATGTTTCGATCGCAACACAAGCGGCCGTCAGCAGGGAAGGGGGGTTAGTTTCTAAAGGCAAACTGTCTATAAAGGTTTAAAATGGACGTAGTCCAAATGTCAGCAGCATGGGCGGGGCAGCTAATGTTAATGTAAGTAATGGATGGCGACCGCGATGGTGGTGCGTTTCCACCAATTAAAGGGCTGCCAGGTAAAAATTAAGATGTTAATGTAAGATCGGTGATCGGCCTCCACGGCGAGCGCGCTGAGGTGGCTATGTTAATGTGAGAAATTTAACCTGTTAATGTAGAATCAGAGAGCCGAAAATAACAACTAACATCGGAAGGTGGCAGGATGGGAACATCACAGCCAGTTATGACTTAAACTGGTTGCTAAGTTTGCACCCATCTTCTCGGTTTAAATTGTCTGTGTCTGTATATATGGATGGCTTCATGAACGAATCTTTGTTGATAGCCAGTGGGTTTGCAAAGTACCTTCGTCTTAGAGAAATCAATTTCGTGTGAGCCCACCACATTAAAGCAATGATCAGCCACGGCCGAGGTATTGATCCTACCATGTTACAAATCTGTCTTATGTTCACGAACACGGTCCGAGACATGTCACTTAGTTCCCCCAATGTAACTACTGCCGCAGACACAGATTAGTTTGTAGACGCCGGGATATTGCATATCAGGGATCACATCCTTCACAGATGGGATCAGGTCACGAATTTTATGTACTGTGTTAAATCGAACCTGGATCTTGTGTTTGCTCATGATTTTGGAAAAAAATTTGGTAACCCCTGCTATGTATGGCAAGGTGATGGTTTTGATTGGGTCCTCAGATGGTGATTTCCCAAGGGTTGGGGTGATAGCTTTACGGATTGTGTAGTCTGAATATCCATTCATCTTGAGAGCTTGGTGTACGTGTTCCAGTTCATTGGCTAGGTGATGATGGTCGGTAATACATCGAGCTCTATGGTGTAGAGTTTTGATGAGGGAATTCTTCTGGGATGGATGGTGGTGGGAGTCAGGTTTTAGATAGGCATCTGTATGGGTGGCTTTCCTGTAGACAGTGTCCCATTGAGCCATCTGGTTTCTTTTAGATTAAAACATCCAAGAATGGTAACTTGCCATCCTTTCCCACCTCCATGGTGAATTTGATGGCTTGGTGTATGGAGTTAATGTGGTTGAGAAATTGGTTCAGAGCTGGTCGGCTATGCGGCCAGATGATGAACGTGTCATCTACGTATCTCTTCCACAAGAACGGACGTAGAGTGGATGCCTGGATGGCATTCGTCTAAAAATGTTCCATTAAAACATTGGCTACAACTGGAGATAAGGGAGAACCCATTGGGGTACCTTCAACTTGTTTGTAGAATGTTCCATTCCAGGTGAAGTAAGTTTTGGTGAGGCAGTGTCTCACCAGGACTAGTACATCAGCATTCAGTCCTTGTTGAACCAAATCTTCAATGATTGTAATGGTGTCAGGCATAGGAACTTTGGTAAACAAAGAGATTACATCGAAACTGGAGATAGTGAGATGTCCTTAATTAATTATACCAAGTAAGCTGAGTTAAGTACAGCTGATGCGATCTTACCAGTGAATGGTCTTAAGGTCTCAGACAGAAATCGGGCCAGTTTGTAGGTGGGTGAATCAATGGTGGAGATGATAGGACGAAGGGGTGTCCCTTCTTTATGGATGTTTGGTAAGCCATACAATCTGGGTGGTCTAGCAGCAGAGGGTTTTAAGGAAAACCGCTTGGTTGGTTCGATTAAAGGTGTCGAATCGGTGATGATATTGTTGGTTTTCGTAACGAGGCTGTTGGTGGGATCTCTTTTAAGTTTTTGTATAGCTACCATCATTAAGTAGGTCCTTCATTTTGTTATTGTATGTGGTTTTGTCCATGATGACTGTGGCATTGCCCTTGTCGGCTGAGAGAATGACGATGTCATCTCTCTTTTTTTTTATTAAGAAAGCTTAAAGCGCTCATCCTTGCTGATGTCGCTAATAGGTGTGTTAGCGTTTTTGAGGATTGCAGTGATTTCTGATCTTGCCACGTCTGCAGCAATGTCTCCCAAACCCTTAAGGGCTACATCGACCTGGGCAATGATATCATCCACATGGATGTGTTTAGGGGTGACTGCGAAATTAAACCCTTTAGCTAGAACCGAGTTTAGGCTGTCGGAAATTGAACTGTTACTCTGATTGATAAGTCTTGTCAACGTCTAACTTTTGAACATGTGCATCTGGCTTCTTCTTGGAAAGGAGGTTGAACTTGGAAATCAGGTTATCTTTGCATTTAGCTGACATTGAAGCGACTGAAGAGGCTGTCATGTTATCTACATGTTCCCAATAAATCAGATCTAGCTAGAGCTGACCCAGGGGAGACCATCCCAGACGAATCCATACCGATTACATAATATTTCATAATCGATTCTATTTATGGAATCGAAATTACAGGTACACATTTTAAACATAAATAACTACACTATAATCTTAGCTCTTTCGGTAAAGTCACGTTGAAGGGAAACAATAAAATAATAAAATATATATAAAACAATAAAAATTCTCATGACGTTTCGACCATAACACAAACACACCTGATGACGACCGTTTGTGTTATGGTCGAAACGTCGGCTACCATGAGAGATTCGTTCATGAGGCCATTCACATATACAAGCACAGAGACAATTTCAACCGAGAAGATGGATTCAGGCTTAGTAACCACTGGAAAGATGTTTTAAATCATTTCTGTTCTTAATTAATTGTATTTTTACGATGACCTTCAGACCGCAGCTCTTTCGCCAGCATTGCCTCTTAATACCTCTCACACCACGGTTAATGGTATAGTTTTACAATATGGAGCATACTAGGGCCTCGCAGCTGTCTCTCTCCCCCTCCTCTGTTCCGACCATGGACGAACTCGTCCGTCTGAACGGGACCCGTAGCTATCCGTGGGGCTGAAATTTGAGGGTAAGAATGCACCCATTTTTTCGCCATATAGCATTGTGATATATAACGACTTATTGTTGGTAGCTTAGCTGATTGGAGAATATAGAGTTTATTGATAACATGAAGGTAATTTATATTTTAGTTTTTATTGGTTCACTATATAGTACTGTGAATAGCTCAGATGTGTAGTCATTTCTGTGACCAGTCACTAGCTAATCACTCAGTTGTTTCAATGCTGGATTCGCCTAGTTATTTCAATGCTAAATTCTCCTGTTTGATTTGTACTAAGGGCCTCGGTGAATGTGTATGCTCTGACTTTAATGTAGCTATTTCTGCAGCAGGTACAAGCTAACCACTCAGCTATCTCAATGCTAAATTCTATGCTAATTCCATTGTCAAGATGTGTATGCCTTAACTTAGCTATTTCAATGCTAAATTCTATGCTAATCCCTTTAACAATGGGGGCCTCTGCGGGTATGTATGCTTTAACTTTTAACATAGCTATTTCTGTGACCAGTCACAAGCTAATCATTCAGCCATTTCAATGCTAAATTCTATGCTAATTCCTTTGTCAAGGCGCTTTGTTCCTCTCACACAGCTTAAAGGCCGTATCTGAACGTGGCTCTTTCACTCCAGCGCTGTCCTACCAGACAGTCTCGCCCCCCTTCACCTGATGAAGGCCGCTTGTGTTGTGGCCGAAACGTCGTGAGAATATTATTGTGTTATTTTATTTTATCAATTTATTATTTTATTATCATTCTACGTGACTTTACCGAAAGAACCAAAGAAGATATATATGATTATTTTA